AAAGAGCAAGGAAAAGGCAAACATCTTGTGTGGTACATGAAAAACCACAGTCAAATAAATGCAATTTCTACAAATCTGCAGGACTTAGCTGGATCACTGTAACTACAACTAAATATTGTCATGCAGAGTTACACCTAAATAAGTATTTTCTCACTGTATTGCTCACCTAATCTCTGCAAAATGGTTGAGAAGTTCCCACAGAGTCTGTTCACAGGGAAAGGTGTCTTGTAAACGGGAGCCATCATCCAACTGCAATGCGATCCGAACCTGTGGGAAAACACACTGAATTGATCTGGAATCTGAATGAAAACTTCCTTGTCTTTACAACTTGTTTAGGTATTTCAGTGATTTGTAGAACCTCCTATCCAAAAAACCATGACTTTCTTCTAAACACTTCCTGCAAAGGATTACACTATTAAAAATGCAGAGGTGTATTCAAATGATTACATTAGGATTCTGGCATTTTTACCTGACTTCTCATTGGAATGGACAGCTCCTGAGCATGGAAGAGGCAATCCTTGACTATTAACCAGCTTTCCTGGGCCCTTCTTCCCTGACACATTCTGAACTGAAACGTATTCTGAGATAGGCCAATGCAAACGTCCCATTCAGTGTTTCCATGTGTCCCTACCAACAGTGTCAGTGCATCCTCTCACTCTGTGAGAGCGAGTGACACATGGGAAAGCATGAGGGGGAGACCAAGAGTGTGATGGGAAAAAACAGGCACAACACACTCCAGCAATCAACTGTGATTTCCTTGGTGGAATATGTTTGTCATCTGCCTCAGCTCCTACCAGTCCTTACAGGACTGCAAATTGTCATCTGCTGGAGACAGGAGTTTTTCTACATAAAGGGAATAGTGACATCATCAACAACTAGCCAACAGAACTAACTTGTGTCATCTCACCATTAACACAACCTCCTGGTTTCTCCTATGCTGGAGACAAGTATTACATTATTCTCAGCTAGAGCAGAGTGATGACAGCTGACATCACCATCCTATAAGAATCCAGCCCAGAAATTCAGACTAACAGTTGCATCAGTTTCTGGGCAACAGTTCAAAGCTAAGCATGTCACGAAAGTCCTATTCACTCAATTAGAAGACTTTCTGAACACCCCAGGCTCTGTAAATAATAGACCAGTGCCAATTATCTTTTAAGTTTACAAACACATAAACAGAAGGTTAATAACTTTAACACTAGAACTGTATTGATGGCACCCCTATATCACCTGCCACCACAAAGGAGAATTTGTTCAACTTGTCACTAAAGAATTGTCTTATGTGATTTAAATGATTTTTACATGTGAAAGAAATCCATCTACTTTAAAAACACCAGGTTTACTGAACAAACTTGCAGTTTATCCAAACCAGTGTTCGGGCTCTAGGGGTAAGACTGCTGCCAGCGACCACAGGAAAGCACACCTACTTCCATGCAAGTTATCTCAATAAAGACAATAACAAAAGACACAGAACCAAATTCATCCCAATATTACTGCAGCCAGCCTGCATGATCAAGCCCACATTTCAGCTGCCACTGTATCAGGGCATAATACCAATGCCACCAGAGTCAGCTCTCGTCACAGCTAACTGGCTGTTTTTAACTCCCTACAGTATTTGACACTCGTTCTCTGTGGCAGCAAATTCTTTTGGTCAATTGTTCTGTACAAAGTGTTTTCTTATACTGTCTGTAAAATCCTTCCAAGTGGAACCTCTGCTCTTAGTTTATGGGACAGCGACTCTGTTTAGACTGTACTCTTCACAAGCATATTTACTGTATCTTCTCAGCTCCACAGAACAGCAACAAGCACTCCAAGGGAAGCCTTGGAGTCACTTCTGTAGACTGTTCTGTTGAAATACAACTAAACCATAAGTTAAACTTTCATTGGCTCTTCTCCTTTGTGATCTAAAGCAGTGATTCCATGTTATAAACCTTCTCCTACAATGCACAGTCCTTCTCGCCCCTTTCACAACTTTTTTTAACTGAAAATTTTAAGCAGATGCTACCAGCTTGTTGTATTTTTTTAACTAAATACGTCATATGGAGCACAAACTTCTTTCTACCACAAAGTCAGAAGAAAACATTAGCACCAAAACAAAGCACATGGAGGTTTTACAGAGAAAAACATAGACATTTGTGACTCCCCAAACTGTACTGCACACCCACAGTGAACTACAGCAGAGACTGCAAAAACTTTGTGCACTACAAAGGTCACTTTTCAATGTGTGCATCAGTTTGTCTTTGTGACAAGTAAAGCAATTGCCTGTGACAAAATACCACTAATGCAATTTGACAGACATTGAGAGAATAGCACTAATAGACCTGAAACTTTCTCAAAAAATGAGAAACTCCACCTGAGGAAGCCTGTAAGAAGAGAGATGACTATTAGTGACAGACAAATTTTCATTCCTAGGCCACTTAAGTAAGACCGTACACCATTTGTACCACATTCAATGTTTATACTCATTAACACCTATGCATCATTTCAAAAATCATGTCTCCAGCTGTAAGAACGACATGCATCAAAGATTTTTAAACCTCCTAAACACGCGACAGTAATTCCTGTAGAACACAGCATCCGTAAGCTGTTTGCAAATTACACAAAGCAGGGACATTTGGCAACTGCTAAGCACAGTGCATGTCACAAAACATTCTGAAGCTGTGTGAACACACCGTGAAGAGCAGTGCTGGGAAAGACGCATAAGAAAATCTTGTAAGAATGTGAGATTTAGTCAAAATCCAGATGCAGACAACAGCAACAGAAACAGAAATTAGGAAATGGAACTGAGTTAGTAACTCAACTGCTAAGCAAAGTCATCAATGATGTTTAACTTCCTACACATTCATGACTACTAGTTTTTCATGTGCCCCAAAAGATCTCCCTATTCTCCACTTGCAGCTGGAACTCCATCAACACGCCAACTGTAAGCAAAGACCTCCAGCTACTAAATTACCACTTTCCACCACACCTCTACCAGTCTTTGGGTGGTCTCGCACTCAAGCACTGGCCAAGTCTAACCATGCTCTTGCTCACGAGATGACCGCATTCAGCAAAAGCGATAACTGAACTAATCGAACATACCCCGAAAACCAACGTACCATGTTTCCAATTCCCACTCTATTAAAGACTGGCACCATCTCCAGCTTGGCATTGTTGGGCAGCCTGGCAAATCTCCACTGTAAAGAGAGATCCAACACGCTCCTCTGAAACCTAAACAAGAACAGAGCCCATGAGAACACCAAGGAACCATTCTATGTAATCTTCAGATCACTTCAGGGACTGACAAAAATGCAAAGTCCAGGTACTGAGCAAGGTAATTCCCTGCAGGTTGACTAGGAGCCATAGAGCAGCACTCAACAATGCAGAACTGGTAACTCAGAAAACAGTTCACAAAAATTATTCTGCATATCAAAAAGCTGCAGTTTGTAGAGATCACAGATAAGATACTCAAATTTATGTTCTCCTCAGGCTTTAAGAGAGAAACAGAACTGAATAGTCAAGCCTGGTGCTCAGTGTTAAATAAAAAGGTACTTCTTTTACTGCCACTCAAACAATCTCTTGCTTATGATACCATAAAAACTTATGATCAAGCCACAGGGTGCGACTGGAGCCCTATCACTCAGTGAGCTACAACTGCGGGTGACACCTCTGTGGAAGTTACACAGGATCTCGGTATTTATCCAAGGAGCAAAGGGAACTTGGCACGGGGAAATCGGGAGGGGTTAATTGGAACAAAATCCCTTTGCTGGAGAACAGCAGCCCACGGACCCTCTCTGCCCATGACCATGAGCATCCTCCCGAGCTCGGGGCCCGCAACGCCGGGCACCCACCAGTGGCAGCCACCGCCCGGCAGCGCGCCGGGCCACGGGCAGGCCTTCGGCACCTGCTGGGCCCCTTGCCAAGGACGCGGCGGGCGACTCGACACGGCCGGGCCCGACCCTGTCCGGCTGCGCAGCCGCGGGCCCGCTCTGGGCCTCTGCCACCGGTGGCGCGAAGCAGCCTTCAATAGGGCCCGGCCAGAGCTGCCGCCGGCCCCGCTCTGAGACTCACTTGAGGCCGTACTCGCCGGGGCTGCCGCCCTGCTTCCTACAGACCTCCTCGAGGATCTGCGGAGAGAACAGAGGCGTTACGGGCAGGGCCGGCCCTGCCGCCGCCGCGCCACCGCCCCCCGGACCCACCTGAAGCAGCACCGTACCGGGCCCCACCCGTACTGTGACCCGCCGCCCGCTGGGGGCCAGCACCGACACCGCGGCGCCCCCCCCGCCCGCCGCCGCCATCTTCCCTCCCTCCGAGGCGCCGGCCCCGCGCGGCTGGGGCGGAGCTGGGCCCCGGGCCGCCCCTGCTGCAGGCCGCGCTCCGCCCCGCCGCGGAGCCGAGCGAAGGTGAGGCACGGGCCAGGGGGCCGCGGCGGGCGAGTCCCGGCCTGGTGGGGCCGGCCAGGGACTTCCGGGGCCTGGTCAAGGGTCGGGGCCGAGCCGGAGGTCGAGGGTCAGGGCTGGGGCCTGTGCCCGGGTGGCCGCTGCGGGAGGTCGCGGTACTGCCGGCGCTCGGAGCCGGGGCAGGGCAGCCTGGCGCAGGGTTCCGGGCACACGGGCGCCGGTGCGATGCGTGCCCCGGGCACACGCTGTCCGCTCGGCAGAGGGAGCGACCGGTGGAGCGGGAGGAGCCGGAGCCAGGGCTGCGGCTCGCGGCGCGTTTCCTGCCGGGTTTGCAGTGTTCGGATCGGTCAAACAGCTCTGAAGAAATAAAACGTTTCTTCGCTGTGCCTGGGCTTCTCCCGGCAGCGCACGGCGTGGTCCCCGCTCCGAACCGGGCACGCGGCACATCGAGGCGCTTCAGATCTCTCAGCTCTTCACCAAGCGGCGATGGCAGCGTTCCTGGGCAAAGCACTAAAGCTACTGACAGCAACAGCCACATTGCAGGGAGCGCTCCCTCTGCCACAGGTGTCCAGGCAGTGCCGCAGTCGAGACACCGCGGGTTAAGGCCAACCACAGCATCCCGTCGGCTCCGAAGAGCATTCCTTCCGATCAAAACAACAACCAACCGAAGCTGTTGATTTTGCATCTCAGGATTAGTGTCACAAACCCAAGCGTTCAGACAACGGCTCTGCAGCTATAGGAAGCTAAGATTATCTTATATTTACAACAACATTTCATAACCTTTCACTCTCAGCACCACCTTTTCAGTATCGAAGGCACTCTCAGAGATTCAACTCTTTTGTTTGCTATCATAAGAAAAAAAACCAAAACACACCAACCCTTAGTTTGGGTAACCACTGGAATTTATTTAGCCTAAGTTGTTACCACATGCCAAATACTGTCTCTACTTCTTCTATATTTGTCATATATGTTGAGCTTAAGTCCCCATCACCACCCCCAGCGCCCACAAAAATGTCTGCTCTGTTTGGCTTATAAAGGAAAAATATCCTTTTAAGGGAAAGGCACTTCAGTAAAAGATAACGCTTGTTTTTTACCTTATCAGCAGTGTGAGAGAAAGGAGAAAAAGAGAGGGTGGGAATTTTAGTGATGGAGAGACATCCCCTTGCTTATGCATGTGAATTCCTGAGTCCTCCCAACACCATAGCTACTCAATTAAGTTTTATTAATAGTAACAAAGGGTGTCCTGGTGTATGTGTTCTTTAAAAATAACACCTAAACATGCCTTTACACTTTTCTTTCCATTCTGTTGGGAAGTATCATCATATTACCTACACAGCTACGGTGTTCAGGGTATTGGCATCCCAGGCCATGTTTGTAAATCCTAAACACATTAAAATGGTTGAAGTTGTTGTATTTTACTTTCAGAGCTAGGATGGACAAGGGGTGTATGGCCAGTTACCACAGAACAGCACAATAACTCGGCAGTCATCTGTCAATACCCTGAAGTTGTCTGTGTGCACTTGGTTTTACTATTTTAGCTAAGCAGCTGTGGAACTTTCTGAATATAAACACAACGGCTGTAGAGAGAGGTATTGCCACCATCCTCTTTTCACTTGTCAGTTCTCTGCTTATGTGGTGAAGAACTTTGTTCGTACTCTGAAAGTCAGTATTGTGCAGGGAGGGTCTGACCATCCTCTCACAATTCTCTTTTCTAGGAGAGAGGCCCACATTATAGAAGAGTTTCTTCCTCAGAACAGCTCACACCAAGGTAATCACAGCACTACCTCTGACAGCAGCTGGGGACAGCAGCAGAACAGCGGACTCTGCCATTATTTTTTCCCCAGGATTAACTTCCAGTTTTCACCAGTCTGCGTCTTGTAGACATCCCAATCAGAGGTGTGTCTTTACATCTAATCTGATGGATTTCCGTCACATGAATCCGCCCAGCCACGTTTTGAGCCCACCTGCACTTTTGGCACCCGCAGAATCTGAGGCAGTGGATGCCACAGTCAAATTGTGTGGTACGACAGAAGTACCTAACTTTGATTTAGAATTTCTTCCTTGGTGTTCCACAGCTTTTATCAAGAAACAATCACTAATCATTCTCTGTTTCCATCTCTGTAATACTCACAAGTCTAGAGACATGCTTCTTATCATTCTCTAGCTTTTTAATTGCCTTTGCTGTAAAATATGTGAAGAAGCCTTCACATACATGAGGCTTTAAGGGCAAGACTGTTCTGAAAGTTTTTGCCTATGAAGGGTGCAACAAATACCTATGGTGTGCAAATTCATCTTAGTCTTTAAAATAGGGTTCAGACCCAAAGCTCTGCAAATATCTCACAAAGAGTGAAGACATCTTGTCCTTCCACTCATAAATAACTTAAGAGAAGGTAAGAAGAAGCAATTATAATGGCCATGTTAACACCTGTGATTGTTCAGCTGCTGAGGTGGAGCAGCCATGCCATTCTAAAAGATACATTTTGACATTTTGAGTTACATGGAGCCCCCCGAACTGGTCTTGTTTGTGTGGGGGTAGCTCCTATTTGATGTCTGAAGCAGGCAGCTGTTTTCTATTTTGCTTTGGAAGTGACACATCTCTTAAAGAAACGTTGCTCCTGTTAAAAAGACACCGATGTAATTTGAGTTGAACATTTCCAAGTTGCAGGATTGGAGAGATTAATCTGTTTTTTAATGACATGTCATAATCAGAAAGTCGCATGGAGGTTAAGGGTCACATTTCATACCCACAGCCACTTCTAATCTCAAATATTTATCTGAAATTAGAAGCATTGGGAGAGAAAGAAGGGGGAGGTAACTACAACCTGGAGTTCATTAAAGTGCTACAAAGAAAGAGGAACTCATTAGGGAATAGTTAAAAACACCCTTAATTTGGTTTTCTGCCACTGTCAGGACCAAGTGATGCCTGCAAGCGTGCCAGGTGGGCAAAACGTACGCCATGCCAAGACCTTCTCAGAACCTGCATTTCATCTGTGGTTACAGTGAACAAGCTGAACAGTGACCTTTCCCTAAAATCACCTTCCCTTCCTGGCAGCTAGTGCTTTGCATTAGATCCATACCCCTGGCGCGATGCAAGTTGGCATTGCCACAGCCCCACAAAGAATCATGCATAGATTTGCTTCATGATAAAGCATAGACCCCTCTCCCCCACCCCCGCTTTTTAATTTCTTTTAAATTGATAGGAATTTAACTATGAACATCTAGAAATACATCGTCACCAGTTCCAAACTATAATGCAGAACAATAGTTACCACAGTAATGATGATTCCAAAAAGATTTCCTCCCATCTGTACCAACAGTATGTGCTGACGATTGCCAGAGTCCTGCGGACGTTCAAGAGTGTGGCTCCCTACCACAGCATTGCACAGCACATTGTGTTGCACTTTTGATCAACACAAGACTCAAAAAACAAGTCAGGGGAGTTCAGCTGAGTCAGGGCTGCAGAGCTGCCTACACCAGGTGTGAGAGCTGGCTACAAAGGAGAAAGGTACTCAAGGCATAAGTGCTGGTCAGGACTCAGGGCATCACCCTCTCAGCTTCTGAGAGGCAAGGCCTACAGCTGCCTTGATCCTGACAGAACTCTAGGGAATCTCAGAACTGTCTCATTTGCTATTGTATATCACAGTCCAATACATTTCAACATACATGAGGACATAATGGAACAGGATATTTAATTCTGAAAGGATATTTAATTTTGAAAGGCATTAAATAGTAACAGCATCTCCCTTAACATTATTCCCAATCATTAAGAATCTCTTGCTGGCCTCCTGCAAGCCTTACTCCCACCCATAAATATGCCCAATCTCCAGTGCCTGGAGAAGGAGTCCAATTCCTCCACAGCTTTCTCTGAGCTTCCTTCCATACCAAGCCCAAACCACTCAATGTAGGGTGTTTCTTTTAAAAGATTAAAACTTAGCAAACCTCTGCTGAAGAACAAAATTCTTTGAAACCCGTGTGCACCTGGATGTTCTCTCAAGTTCAGCATGTCAAACTGTACTAGATTTAAATATCTAAGTAGGCTGTCATGCCATAACCTCACATGCTGTGTAATCTTTGCACTCTGTAACAGCCCCCTGCTCCTTTGTGACAGGTAACGCGAAAATGGTAAGAGTGCTCTGAAAGAAATCCTCCTGTTACCGGCACCAGAAGAGGTAAGGCCAAGACAGACACAATTTAAATGTCTTTGCTTCAACTCTTTGGACAAAGGCCCAAAGATCTGCAACTTTAACTTTGCCCTACAGTTTTTCAGTGGTGAATCACACTCAGTTACCCCTTCACACCCCAGCTGGTACAACGTGTTACAAGGTTCAGTAACTGCAGAACCCCCCAGTCCCTCCTGTTTTCTTGCTGCAACAAGGTTCTGGAGTTGTTTATACCGCCTGTTCCATGATCCTGAAGGACTCTTGGGGACTTAGTGGTTCATCTGGTCAGACTTTTTGCAAACTAACCAGTTTCCAGCTGCACCTCTGCTCAGGCAGCCACGCATGGTCTCTAACTGGCAATAACTAGTGCTAGTGATGGATTGCTGGTATCTGACAGCCAGTGAGGAAGGGATGTTTAGGCCAGTGTAGAAAAAGGTAACAATGATACAGACTTGTGCTGGGACTAAAACTGTATTGAGGAGATGTAGTGTGTGTGGAGTGTGTTCAGTTCAGTGGCTTTTCCTGGCTTAAAGATACTATTGGTACTATCAGCACTTAAATAAAAGAAAACATTTGGAGGTAAAACTCCGCTGGAGGACAGAGCTGAGATCGAGATTACGTGAGAGTAACTGAAAAATTAAGAAAAACGTAACATGGCAAGCAACTCGCAAACCCCTGTGCTCTGTATGTAGGAAATACAGAGCTAAGGATGCACTTAATAAACTCCAAAGGTAAAAAGCACACTTGCAGCAGCCGGTCAGCCTTAACTCCTGCTCTGCAAAATCTCTCCACTTACTATTTTAAGTTGATACTATTTTCACCTTTTCTAGTCCCAGATAGATTGCATCTCCCAGCACAGACAGCCGTGTTCCTGCTCCTCTCTGGAGGGCTGTTGAGGGGGTGAGCTGCCCGTCATGGTATCTAAACGAAGATGGAATTATTCAGGGTGGAGCGTTTTCTCTGGTTTTCCTCGGTTTTTAACACCGAGGCCTGTGACACAGACATAACTTCCCTGACATGCCGGTTCTCACAGATGAAACCCTGGGAGCTGGCACTTAACGTGCCTTTTTCTGCGGGGTTCTTCTTGCAACCACCTGGAATGTGCTATCCCGGGGAGTAAACAGGGAGAGCTCCTGGGGGGAAATCCCCGAGGGGGGCTGAGCCCCCGCGGCGCGGTCCCTGGTCAGGGGCTACAGCCGAGGCTGCCCCCGCGACGGGGAACGCTCCTGGCCTCCCCCAAACGCGGCCAGTAGCGCCCCGCCGACCTCCCCGTCACCTGCGGGCTTCCGGCTCCCCGCCGCGCCTTGCGGGCTGGAGCTAACCCCGCACCGAGGGCTCCCGCACCGACAGGGGAGGGGAACTGCGGGGGGGGGGGGGGGGGCACCTCCGCCCACGCGGAGCCGGGGAGGAGCCGCCGTCGGGGCCGCCAGAGGGGGGCATCAAGGGGGGGGGGGGCGGTGCGGGCCGGGGGTGCTGCCGCGGGGGCTGCCACGTGCGGGTCCTCGCCCCCGCGCGGCCCGACCCCCCTCCCCGGCCCCCGAGAGGCCGCCGCCCGCCTCCGCCGCCCTGCGGGCGAGGCTGGCGGGCGCCACCGGCCGCGGCCGCGGTCCCGGCGCCGGCAAGGGCGGCGATGGCGGCGCCGGAGGCGGGGGGCTCGGGGTGCGCCCCGACGGAGCGGGCCGCCGTGCCGATGCGGAGCGGCTCAGACCCCCCACTCCCTCCGCCTCGCTCCGAGGGGGCGGAGGGCAGGGCAGGGCGGGGGCTGGCCGGCTGCTGCCCCACGCGGCGCCCGGGCTGGCGGCGCCCCCGGCGCGCTCCCCGCGCACTCCGTGCCCCTCTGTCATGCTCGCCGCCTGGGAGCGGGCGGCGGGCTCCTGCGCCGGCAGCCGCGCCGCTAAACCCGCGCCTGCGGCGCTGTGCTCGCCGCCCGCCGCCGACCCCCGACCCCGCGGGCGGCGCGGCGGGGCGCGGCGGAGCGCGGGCGGCGCTGCCCGCCGCCGGGGGCTGGCTGCTGCTGCCGCCGCGGCTAGCGGCGGGTGGCGGCGGGCGGCGATGGGCACGGCGGCCGTGCACCTCCTGCTGCTGCTAGGGCTGCTGAACGCCGGGCCCGGCGGCGAGGGCAGGAAGGGCTGGCGGCGGAGGGGCCCGGCGGCCCGCGAGCGCGGCGAGGCGGCGGCGGCGGCTGAGAGCTTCCCGCTGGACTTCACGGCCGTGGAGGGCAACATGGACAGCTTCATGGCGCAGGTCAAGAGCCTGGCGCAGTCGCTGTACCCCTGCTCAGCCCAGGCGCTGCCGCACGATCTCCGCCTGCACCTCCTGCACAACGCCTCGGTCACCTGCAACGACGGCAGCCCGGCCGGGTGAGTCCCCGCGCGCCGCCGCCGCCCGCCGCGGCTGCCCGCGCCGCGCGCCCCGGCCCCGCCGCTCCCCGCCCGGCCCCGAGGGCTGTGGCGCCACCTTGCGGCGGCGCGCGGCGCGGCTGCGACAGGTGCAGCAGCGCTCCCGGGAGGCGGCGGCGGCGGCGGCGCTGGTCCCGGCGGGCGCGCGCTCCGCCCCGGCCTCTGGTAACGGCGCCGCCGCCTCCGTGTCTGTCCGCAGCTACTACCTCAAGGAGTCCAAGGGCAGCCGGCGGTGGCTGCTGTTCCTGGAAGGTGAGCGACGGCGACCGCTGCCCTCCGTGCCCTGGCGCGGGGCCGCTGTGCCTCGGCAGTTCCGGTCCCGGTGCGGCCGGCGGGCGGCTCACCCCTCTCTCCCTGACAGGAGGGTGGTACTGCTTCAACCGGGAGAACTGCGACACCCGCTATGACACCATGCGGAGGCTCATGAGCTCCCGGGAGTGGCCCGCGACCCGCGTGGGTGAGTCTGCCCGAGGAGGCAGTGCCCGAGGAACGGGACCGAACGGGGCAGCCGCGCGCGGGCCGGCATTGTACAGCATCTGCCGGCAGCCCCGGCAGCCGTGCAGGCACGCGTGTGGCTGCGCCGTGCCATGGCTCGGACAGGCTCTCGCGCCGCACAGGTGCGGCTGCGCTCGGTGCACGGTGTGAGGTTAAACACGGGCACGTGCGCACAGACCCGACAGCATCTTCAGAGCCGGGCTCGGTTTTCTGGGGTTTAAAGAGACTTCGTGTTCGTCTCTCTCCTATTGGAGGAGCTCGGGCCTCAGTGGGTTTGTCAGGACACGGGCACTTTCTCCCATGCATGTTTCCTGCTGCAGGACCAGGCTTGTGAGTGTGGGAAGGAACTGGGTCTACCATATGGGTTTCACCTGCAGCTGCCTGGTTCCACCTTTCCCCATTTACAGCTGTGTAAGTTCACGTAACCAGCTGCAGGCACTCTGTGTGAAAGCAAACGTTTTAACATCTTCCATTATCAGACGTAGGGAGGAATTAGCACCCAGATACCCCTGCTCTGGACCAGCAGGCTCCTGAGGCAGCAATGAAGTGCTGAGCACTGAAATGATGAACTGCTCTCTTCATCCTCACTGTATATGAACACGAAAACCTTCCCCATCACACAGATCTGTACTTGCATGTACTGGCATTCACCTGCTATCATTTGGGTTTGGGGAAAGGGCTAAATCTTAGGTGTGTGTCACTGGTTCTTTTTTGTGCTACAAGAGGCCTCTAGACCAGCTTCATACCCAGCGAGAATCAGATTCTGAAAGTCACATCTGCCTAAGGGCAGGTTCAGAAACATCCCTTCCGCTGCCCTTAGCGATGTTTTGGCCTGGATGTTTGCTTTCTGTGTGGTCAGAGGTGCTGCATGAATTCACAGCCTGTCAGCGGTGCCTTTCTTTTCTCTTTGTGCCCATCTGCAGGAACCGGGATCCTGTCGTCACAGCCGGAAGAGAATCCCCACTGGTGGAACGCCAACATGGTGTAAGGAGAGACAATGGAGGGCAACAGGGGATAATTAAACAGCATCTCCTGCCTTCTAGGCTGGCAAGAATGCTACAAAGACAGATTAAGACCAACACTTGTGGGAGGAAATTGTGTGTTTCCTCATTTGTTTCAGTCCAGCTCCCTAACAAGCAGCGCTGGCAGAGGCTGGAGAGACCTCAGTCCGGGCTCCTTGGAGTTGTGGGGTGATCTAATGAAGAAAAAGTGGGGCTAGCTTAGAGAGCCTTCTCAAATAGCTGAAGTGCCAAATACTGCTGTGAATGGTGGGCTGAGGGCTTAAAGAAGGGAGAAATGAGAAAGACACTAGTTTAAATAGGCATCTCTTTAGGGAGCAAGAGCAGAGGAGGGGGCTGTTATCTGGCATTCTGCAAGCTGGAGACAAAAAGGGAAGATAAATTAATTCCTGCAAAACCCTCCAGTGGTTGCAGTCAGCATTTACACTGCACTGAGGTCTTCTCATTTTTTGTGTGAGAAACTGACACAGAGAGTTTCCCAGTGGCAGGCCATCCATCGTATCAGTGGGACAGCTAAGAGCAAAGTCTTGGTCATTGTTCTGTCCACTGAGCTCAGTGCTTCAGTTAGGTTGGTAAGAGGTATTATTGATTTAACTCAGTAAAACTACCAGTGTTCAGTAGGAAAGACAGTTCCGACTGTCACTTGGTGTGCCAGAAGGTAAGGTGTCTGACGGGGAGAGAAACTCCCCCTTTTCCCTCACCAGGGCTTAATTCTCTGCCAGTCCCCTGCCCTGTCCTCCCCCCCCCCGGGATGTCAAAGGGACATCAGTGCTCACACAGCTCTCTTGCAGATTCATCCCTTACTGCTCAAGTGATGTTTGGAGTGGAGCCTCTTCCAAGTCTGAGAAAAGTGAGTGTTACTGATGGGCT